GTCTCGAACTCCTGTCCTCAGGAAATCCACCACCTTGACCTCCCGAAGTGCTGGGATTAAAGGCATGAGCCATCGTACCCAGCATATTTTTCTTTCAAACTTATAAATAGAAGGATAAAGAAGAGAAAGTGAGAGAGCGAGTGAGAGAGAACATGGATAAAGGGCACTTGAGTGTAGAGCCTGATGCTGTTTTATAAATGTATAACCATCATCCGGGTCAGGATATAGAACATTTCCAGCAGCCCAACTGTGTTTTTGTGAACACAAATCAGAGCTCATGTGAAACAGCTAAACATATACATTAATGGGCCACGTGCTGCCAGATAGCGCCTAACGAGATCTGCTAACATAGGTACTGTGCTGTCTCCTCAAACGCTATGGTTTCCAGAGCCCAGACGAAGGGATGAGGTGATTGTACGGGAGATAAGATTCTGAAGCCCAGCATTTGAGATGATTAATGAGCCCTGGGCTGCTGCTCCAATTTAGTCTGATATGAAGAGAAGAAAAAGCTGTGGTTAAACTCTCCCTGTTCCAGCCTCACCACTACGTTGCTCCGTAATCTCAGCCAGGTGAGAATCAAACTCCAGGGAGCCGTAGCGGGGGTCCCCACCCCTGCTACACTGCTGCTAGAGAACCATCTCTCAACAAAGTAAAGAGGGATTTCCGAAGTGTTACCTGGGGACCCAGAATGCTGCCTGGAAGCACCTGGGGCTTGGGGTCGGGGTAGGGGGGACACTCATTCTCCCTAGCAGGTGTTCTGGGACCTCTGCAGCCCACTGCCTTTGAGGACGTGGGCAAAGAGGCCTGGGTGGCCCGGTTAGGAGGGCAAAAGTGCCAGATGGCCAGGCAGGTGTTCTGGCTGACTTAACAACCTTATCAGATGCACCGTGGGGCCCAGCCTCCAGCAGACAGTAATGATTTGTGAAGTTGGCAGGGGAAGGCGTCCCACTGCCCTTTTCCCTCCTCCCTCCTCTTCAACATGCCCCATGTTGGTGAGAGGGCATCAAGTGGTTTGCAGCAGCTGACTATCCCTCTGCCCCTGTCATGCCAGCTTTCTGGCAGAGGCTGCTGGCCAGCTCCCTAGAAGGACCTTGGGTGCCCGTCTCCCAAGCTTGCCATGTAGAGACTGGCAGGGGAATGGACTCTGGCAAGTCACCCTGCTGGCTAGCCACGTGGACAGATTCCTGGGAGCTGCCGGGTGATTGAGCTTACAGCGGTCACACTGAATGGCACCGGCATTCCCAGGCACCCACACTCGGACGGCTCTGGCCTCATGTGCGGGACCCCGGCCTCCGGCATTTTAGTTTTGTCTCATCGGAGATGCTCAGTGGGGTGGAAGAAAGACGAGTAAATCTGGGTGGCCTCACCCATAGACGAGGTGGCCAAGCTCCATGACTAATGCTAGCGTAGAGACTCTCCTAAGATTCCCACATTTTTCTTTCTAACCTAATTCCCTTCCTCATCCTTATGCTCCAGTCAAACTGAAGACAAGGACTCCCCTTGTTCTTGCTTGCGTCTCCTCCCCTCACCCCGCAGCTCCAGCACCTAGCCAGGTGACCTTTGCATGGAAGGTGTTCATATAAAGGACTTACTGAGCTGGATTGAGTTTAGCAGAACACAATGTCTCCGAGCTGCAGAATGAAGGCAACATAATTTGTCCTCACTGAGACAGCGTCCATGAATGACCTTGTTTTGAGGGAGAAGGGAAATAACAAGCAGCTTGAAAACATTTTTCTAAACCTACCATTTTTTGCTGTTATTCGTGTTTTAAATTTTACATTAAAAAAAAATTTTTTTTTTGGAGACAGAGTCTTGCTCTGTCACCCAGGCTGGAGTGCAATGGTGCGACTCGCCTTTCTGCAACCTCTGCTTCTTGGGTTCAAGAGATTCTCCTACCTCAGTCTCCTGAGTAGCTGGGATTACAGGCGTGTGCCACCATGCCCTTCCAATTTTTGTATTTTTCCTGTAGAGACGGGGTATCACCATGTCGGTCAGGCTGGTCTCAAAACTACTGACCTCATGATCCACCCACCTCAGCCTCCCAAAATGCTGGGATTATAGGTGTGAGCCACTGTGCCCGGCCACTTTTAAAATTTCTAATATTTATTGATTTATTTTGGGGATGGAGTCTCGCTCTGTCGCCCAGGCTGGAGTGCAGTGGCAACAGTCTTGGCTCACTGCAACCTCTGCCTCCTGGGTTCAAGCCATTCTCCTGCCTCAGTCTCCTGAGTAGCTGGGACTACAGGCACGCGCCACCACACCCGGCTAATTTTGCTTGAACCCAGGAGGCAGAGGTTGCAGTGAGATCTTGCCACTGCACTCCAGCCTGGGCGACAGAATGAGACTGTCCCAAAAAGAAAA